GAGGCAGGGAGGGCGTGGCTCCAGGGCGGGCCTGGGGCTGGGGGCTCCCATCCAAGCAACTCCAGAGATGGGCAGAGGCTCGTAAGAGACACTCTCTTGAGTGGGACGCAGACTCGGGTGATGAGCCAAAGGCTGCTGCTGAAGCAGGGCTCAGGAGGTGATCTCACCTCCACTTGGAGTACTAAAGATTCATTCATTCAAATGCCCACTTGTTCATTCATTCATTGAACAAATGGTTATTGAAAGAATAAATTAAGGTTTTTTTACTCAGGGAAACTAAAACATTCATGCAATCAAAAATATCTATTGAATGAAGGGCAAGGCAAACGGAGAGAAGGTGGGACAGAAGAGGATGAACGCTCCTGAATGCAGACATTGAATGGCGACAGCTCAGATCTCAGGCACCCTCTGGCAAACATCAAGCTCTACGTGACTTGCAGAGAGCTGGTTTGCTAAAAGCTAGGACTCTTTAGGGCAACGTCCCCACCTTTTAAACCCCTGCCTCTTACGAACTGTGCTCACTGCCTTCTGTGCATGGGATCCGGTAGAGCTTCACTCACTGTCTCGTTTTAGAAAAAAAGAAGAGCTCTTAGAAATGTGTGGTCTGAGGTCACACAAGCCCCCCTGGAGATTCTTCCCCGCTCCCAAACCCTAAAAGATATGCGCCTTCTCCCCAGGAGAAGCTTATTATTCTTGACCATGGACTCTTTGAGAGCAGCAATTATGTCCCCAGACAGCCCTCAGTCAAGCACAGGGGTGAGGAAAGAGGGGTGGCAGCGACTCCCATCTATAGCCAGCTTCTGCCTTCCCTCCAACAGGCCCACCTCCTTCTTTGCTGTGCCGAGGGTTATGCACTGTTTGCTATATGAAAAAAAGATGAATCAACATGCAAAAGTACACACAGCCAGTGTCCCTAGGTTTGCTTAAGTCCTGAAAAATAAAACAATTCTAACTATCAGAAAAATAGTAGCGATGTCTCCCTTTCACGCCAGAACGCAGTGGCTTGTCTGCAGGGAAAATGATGAAGAAGACTGAGCTCCAGGGTGCCTGGGCTGCAGAGACACCGAAAGGAGACGAAGGGCACTTTGCGTGGACTAGGTGAAGTCCTGGGGTGACTGAGATGGTCATCTCTGCCTCTCCCAGCATAAGCCCCGGCATGAAGGAGTCTTGCTCCTTCATGGGGTGCTCGTGGGACATGCAGAGCTTCTCTGAGCTGGAGGGTGAGGAAGAGCATGACACATTTGTCATCAGTCTCCTATGTGTCAACTGCTCTTAACAGTACGCAGAGCACCCCTTCGGGTGCGGGGAGGAGGGGCACCTGAGCCCTTACTGCCGGAAGGGCATCGTGTGTAACCTTTGTGGCAAACGAGGATACGCCTTTGCCCAGCGTCCCAAAGCGGTTCACAATTCCGTGGCAGCTCAGCTAACCGGCGTGGCCGGGCACTGAACACCCGCCTGCCTGCCAGGGTGAACACACAGCCAGCTTACCCCTCTTAAGTGCCAAACCTTTTTTTTTTTAACCATTTTTTATCGTTTTTGAAGATCAATGTTTGTTGAATTGAGAACATTGTTGACCCTGGCTTCTGTCAGGGTGTCTATCTTTTGAAGCTCATCCCATCCCCTTTTAATTTGCTGCTTCTAATCTCCGTGGTCTGAGAATTTGTGAAACCAGTGTTGTTAGAAGTGTATGTAACCTGAGTCAATAGGCTCTGAATGGTGGCCAAGGGCCTCTCTTATGGCATTAAAATGCATGGACTTTGTGACAGCGCTTTCAGTGGCTCAGAAGCCATTCTTCACAGAATCATGGAATCGAATCTGGAATTTTCCTTCTGGAAAGGACCTAAAAATTGGTCTAGACCAATCCACTGGTTTTCCAACAGATGAAACAGGACCAGAGAGGTTAAATGACTGTGTCAAAACTCACATAGCTGTCTGGTGCCAGAGCTAGCCTAGAGTAGAGTTCCCTGACCCCAAGCCTGGTGCTCATTCCACTACCTCTCACACCTCACAACATTTTCCTCAACACTTGAGGGCCCAGAAAGTCTGCTCTTTCCAGAATAATGAGCCCAGGGGAATGCTAAGAAATCATCTGGGGAAGGAAGCAGAAGATTTGGCAGGAGCTTCAGAATACTTGGGAGATACGGAAGGGACAAAGGACCATAATCCAGGGTGTACTCATTGCCCCCTTGGGTACCATATCTGGATTAAAGTGGCCCCACTTCTTTGTGGCCTTCCCCTTCCCCGTTCATTGCCATCAGTGAGAAATAGAGGTGCTCCTGAGTAAAGGTTTGCATTTGCATCTTAGCCTCAATAGCTAGTGTCCCCAGAGAAGCAGCCGACTGGAGCTCATCTGCAACCTCCAGACTCTCAGGAGAAAGACGGAATTCCAAGGGAGCTGTTAACTCTGAAATGTACTTGGGAAATAGGCCAAGCTAGAGGGCATTGGGTCTACTAAGTGTTATCAAGTTCAAGTAGAAAAGACAGTACACTGCTTTTCTTTTAGTTTTTGTCTTTCCTTTATGTTTTGCGATTTCCTCGTGGCTTAGAATGTAAAATCGATTGTTTAAAGTTTTGTTCTGAATAAATATTTACCTTTTGTATTGCTAAAAAAAAAACCCCAAAACAGTACACAGAGCACCTTACACCTGTCATCGATGAAATCTTACAGAAACTGCAAACTGAGGGGGGGATTAGCAGATACACACTACTATATATAAAATAGATAAACAACAAGGTCCTACTGTATAGCACAGGGAACTATATTCAATATCTTGTAATAATCCTATAATGGAAAAGAATATATATATATGTATAACTGAATCACTGTGCTGTATGCCTGAAACTAACAGAACATCGTAGATCAAGTATACTTCAACTAAAAAAAAAAGAAAGAAACTGATACCTTATTCGAGGTCATATACCTAATGATTGGCAGAGCCAGGATTCTGAACCCAGGTCTTACTGACCCTCCCTGTTGCCATGGTCCCCTGTTCTCCACCTGGGAGGGGGACCCAGGTGGTGAGAAGCCCTCACTGTGCATTGTCCTCCCTTCTGGCATTTGCATCCTGACACGGAGGAGAGAGTGAGCACCTGGAAGGGGAAATGTGTTCCAAAGGGCATTCTACTGGGAGGTGAGTAGAAGAGGAGCATCCCTGAATCCCGAGGGGGACGGCATGCTGAGTGCACGCTCCCAAAGTCCCCAGGTGGTTCCTGCCTCCCTCGGTCACCGCCCCACGTGTGAGCCCTAGGATCGTTTCTGCCAGCCCCAAATCAAGGATCTGATGATCCTGTCTGTGGATTATCCAGGGCCTTTGTTCTCCCACCCACCACCCCTTGGCATAGCACTAATCACAGCCAGAGTGTTCTAGAAAGGATAGAGCAGGGGGTAGGGGAGGTGCACAGCCATCCAAGTTTCTTCTTGAGTTTACAACTTCATGGATGTTTATGAGCCTCAGAGCTGTTTTTTACACCTGCCTGGATGAAGGGCAGGGATGAAAGGACAGTGGCTTCGCCCTTACAATTGACTCATCAACACAGACTCTGAAAAACATCAGAGGGAGAAGCCTTGGAGACCGAGCATCTCCCCACACCCTTAATTCTGGCTGTGAGGACGTGGAGGCCCAGGAGGTGGTTTGCCCACAGTGGGATGTTTCTGAACTCTCATCCAGGACCCGTCTCACAATCCCACACCGCCTCCTTGAGTCACTGCTTAACTCTACCATCAGGCCGGGGGCAATTTCCCCAATATTTTTTTCCTGAGAATATCAGTGTCACCAGCAACACTAATGTGGTAGCAACTGACAAATGTCTATCCCAGGGCTTCCCTGGTGGCGCAGTGGTTGAGAGTCGGCCTGCCGATGCAGGGGACACGGGTTCATGCCCCGGTCCAGGAAGATCCCACGTGCCGCGGAGCGGCTGGGCCCGTGAGCCATGGCCGCTGAGCCTGCGCGTCCGGAGCCTGTGCTCCGCAATGGGAGAGGCCACAACAGTGAGAGGCCCGCGTACTGCAAAAAAAAAAAGAGTCTATCCCAGTATTCACTTGCTCCTTCTTTCTTGGTAATAAAATCCCCCATGTTAATGGCCAGGCTTCCCTGCAGCTGGGGGTCATGTGAATGAGTTCTGGGCAATGACTTGTAGGTATAGTGATGTGTATTAACTTCTAGGAAACCTCTTTTTCTTAAATTGAGGTGAAATTCACTGTTTTAACCATTTAAAGCATACAATTCGGTGGCATTTAGTATATTCACAATGTTGTACAACCATCACCACTATCTACTTTCAGAACTTTTGCATCAACCCCAAATATATCCCCCACTCATCTGCAGTCACTCCCCATTCCCCGCTAACTGCAGCCCCTGGCAACCATTAATCTACTTTCTGTTCCCCTGGATTTGCCTATTTTGGTCATTTCATATCAATCAAGTCACACGTGTACGTAGTCTTTGAGTCTGGTTTTTCACTTAGCATAATGTTTTCAAGGTTCATCCATGTGGTAGCATTTATCAGTAGCTCCTTCCTTCTTTATGGCTGAATAATATTCCACTATGTTTATATACTGTATTTTGTTCATCCATTCATCAGTTGAGAGACATTTGGGTTGTTTCTACCTTTGGGCTCTTGTAAATAGTGCTGCTATGAACATTCATTTGCAAGTATTTGTTTGAATACCTGTTTTCAATCCTTCTGAGGAAACCTCTTTTTCAAAAGTTGGCAAATGCCCTTAGCCTGCTCACTTCCATCTTCTTCCACCTGCTGCCCGGGGTGTGGGTGTGATGTAGACTCAACTCTAGACCACGCATGCCCTCAGGACATCAGAGTGGAGAACTGCACAGAGCCCAGGCCCCTGGGGATTGTGCAGCTGTCCTCTCCACCAGAATGGCCTACATCCAGGCCTATTGTGTAGGGAAGAAGTAAACTTCTGTCTTGTTTATTTCTCTAAGCCATTGTTATTTGGGGTTCACTGTCATTCACAGCTAAACCTAATTACATATACCTGATAATGTAACCTCCCCTTCTTCTGTGGTCCACCTTTGGCAGGGGTAACATGAGAAGCACAGAACAGATTCCAGATTGTGAAAGCGGGCTCACTAGGCAACCGTCTCCATCCTTATCAGCTGGGCTCTGTAATCGAGTCACCTGCAGCAGGTGGGGAGGATGACTTGGTTGCAGGTGTGGGACTGGGGTTTTCACTTGCTGTTTCCGGGAGGACCACAGAGAGCTGCTGGCAGGTGCCCATCACATAATGATACTCTAGGGGCTGCGTCTTCCCCACCGGCCCAGACCCTATTCCCTAGGTCTCTTCTCTAGACTAAGATTTTTTTTAATCTTACAGATTTCTAGAGTTAATTAGGGCTGAGAGATATATTAAAAGTCATCTAGCCAAGTGTCTTCAAGCTTTTTGTTAGAGACTTCATTAATACAGAAATACATTTTGTACATTGCTTACACACATGGGTCTATGATTGACGTAAAGTTTCACAAAAAAATACTAACCCTTACTATGTACAATGCACTGATATTTTCTGGTTTTTTTTTTCTTTTTATTTGCTGATGACAATCCACTAAACTGATCTCACAACTTGCTAATGGGTGACAACTGGCAGCTTGAAAAACAGTGATGTGATCCAATATTCCCATATGACAGGTAAGAAAGCTGAGGCATTGGAAGGGGAAGCCATCTGCTGAGATCACAGGGTAGTTTAGAGGCAGAGCTTGGCTCAGAAACCAGGTCTTAGATCTTGGTCACTGGTGGGCTGTGAGTCATTCCCAATGCCCCCCTCAGCTCCAGGCACCGGAACGTTTCCAGCTCCTGGCAGGACCCCCACTCGCTCCAGCCCTTGCCACTCTCTTCTTTCTCTCTCTCTAGCCTGTGCTGCTTCCCTTCATCTTTCCCCCACATTCAGACATTTTCAATCCCTGTGCAGCATGGGTGGTACAATTTCTTGGCACCCAGGTCGTGGGGAAATGGGGGTTCCCTGGGTGGCTGAATGAGGGGCTGTTGAGGATCCCGGGATGAATGAGCCCTGAACGGATGGTCTGAGCAGCCTTGAGCAAGGTCTCAGCATCTCTGTAGAAGGGGACAGTGAAACCAAACATCCTCCCTTGTAGGGCTTTTGTTGGGATTCCACGTGTGCCCATCACTAGGGCCTGGCCCTCTGGCAGGGGGATACAAATGCCTTAGGATCCCACACATAATGGCACCAGCAACACAGGATAGAGGAGGGTTTGAGCTTTCTCATGGGCTGCCATTGAGGGCCTCAGATGTGCAGACACTGCTAAGCATGTGTGAGCATGTGTGAGCATGTGTTCTTTTATAGTTACAAACTCTTCTATGTTGTCATTCTCATTTCACAGATGAGTGATTTGAAAGTCCAGTCAGGTGATGTCACTTGCTAAATATCATTTGCTCAGGCAGAGCCTGGCCTGAGCCCAGACTGGGAGCTGGTGCAGCCTGACCGCACGCAATTTCCACGCTGCCACCCTGCAGCCAGCTGAGGTCATGGTGGTGGCATGACCTGGGCACAGTTCCAGGAAGCTGCCAGAGAGAAAGGGCCACCCACAGCTTCCTCCCCTACGCGACATTATATGGTCAGCATGAGAGGAGAGGAAGGAAGAAGGATTCTGGGCCCCCTTCACTTCTAGAGAGAGTTTAGGATCTCTTAGACCCTCACTGAGTCCAAGGATCATTTGGAGAATTCATATTAGCCTAAGCCCCACCACTGACCCACGAAATCAGGATCTCGATCTCTGCGTTAGGGACAGCGTTGATTTTTTTCCCTTAAACTCTCCTGGTGATTCTAATTCAGAGCCAGAGCCAGGACTGAGAATCACTGCCTTAGGCCTACATAGCGTTTACACTAATCAAAGCTCCTTTCAGCGAATTCTCTCCCCTGAGCCACACAGCTGCTCTGGGAGGGAGGCAGATGGGGCAGTCACCATCTCCTGTTTACAAAGGAGGAAAACAGACTGAGAGAGACGAGTGCAGACTCCTTCGGAATCCCCCTCAGCCCCTACCAGAGACCTGAGTCCCCGTTCCTTACTTCAGCGATCCAGAGACCTGAGTCCCCGTTCCTTACTTCCTCACTCCAGCTCACACCCCAGGCCAACACGTGGGCCCTGGGGAAGGAACCATTGCTCCAGCTGTGGAGCGCAGCCCAGCAGGGTGGAGGCTAAGCCGAGAAGTTATCTGAGGTGAACAGAGCAGCACGGACACAGCGCAGGGGCTTGGAAATGGGGAAAGAGCCGCTGGCATCCCAGCTCCCAGGAAAGGGCTTCTGTGCAGACCCACAGCCCAGAACGGCACGGGTCCTCTGCACACTGGGGCTTGAGGCCAGAGAGGGTAAGTCCTGAAGCCAGCGCTCTGCCCAGCAAAGCGGCTGGCGGGAAAGCGCACCATCCCAGCGGGACAGGGCGTCAGCCCTCAGCACAGAGGTTCTGGCCTCCTGCAGGCAGAGGTCTGCATCCAGGTTGGAACCTTGGGGATCCTGCCTCTGACCCAGGGCCTCCGAGTGGCTTCAAGGATGGGGAACAATGCTTCCCCTCCACACTGGGCCCAGCGTCTGTGTCCATAGCCTGCATTCCTGTCTGTCGTGGGGCTCTGGCCTCGGTGCCGGGCAGGCAGATGGTGCCCGACCACTCTGTGCAGAAGGCTGCCAGGCCTTCCTCCACCACATCATCCCCCACTCCGGGAGGCGGAGTAACCGCACACCCCGGATTCCAACACGAACCTTAACTTGGGAGCTAGACGCAGCCCTCTCAGACCAGCACGCTGTGACCCTGATAGTCCCCTGGGTCACACGTGCCCAACCACCCACGTTTCTTTTCCTGTTCCCTCCGCCCAGAACACTCCTCATTCCACAAAACTACTTTTTTAAAAAAAATTAATTAATTTGTTTTTTTGGCTGCATTGGGTCTTCATTGCTGCGTGCGGGCTTTCTCTCGTTGTGGCGAGCGCGAGCTACTCTTCTTTGCAGTGTGTGGGCTTCTCATTGAGGTGGCTTCTCTTGTTGCGGAGCACGGGCTCTAATACACGGGCTTCAGTAGTTGTGTCACGTGGGCCCAGTAGTTGTGGCTCATGGGCGCTACAGCACAGGCTCAGTAGTTGTGGCACATGGGCTTAGTTGCTCCGCGGCATGTGGGATCTTCCCAGACCAGGGCTTGAAGCCGTGTCCCCTGCATTGGCAGGCGGATTCTTAAGCACTGCACCACCAGGGAAGCCCCCACAAAACTACTTCTGACTGAGTCCAACTCATCGTCCGTACCAAGTGCCACCTGTGTCCCAGGGTCTTTCCTACCCCAAACCATGGCCAAGATTAATCCCCTCCTCCTCTTGGCCCCCTGGCTTTTGCTTGGATTTGTAACACAGCCTAATGACAATCCACTTCGAGCCCCACGAGGGCAGAGACCGCAGCTCAGGATCTCTGTGCTCCACCGCGCCTCGTGGCTCTTTCCCTGGGTGTCCAGTAAGTGAACCCGTTCATTCAGGAACCATTTTCTGAAACCTGCTTGGCTGACTGACCAGGACGGGCCAGGAACTCAGGTGTGAGAGCTTCAAAGGAGTGAAGGTGTTTCCCTGTCTCTCTTTTTAAAAATTTGATTTTCTCTGAACTGACCATCGTCCACATTTCACTGTGACCTTAGAACATCTGGTGGATCCAGAAGTTGAGCCTTAAGAGCTCAATTCCATGAGTCACAGGCACTGACACACTGGGCCCCTCAGGACGTCATGCAGGTCTCCCGGTGGGCAGGCTGTGGGTGCGCATGCCCCCAGAGGGTGAGCCTCTGCTGGGGCCCATTGCTCTCTGTCCCGGGTGCCCTTTCATGGTGAGAGAGCTGTCAGTACTGGCAGGAGCCTGGAAGTCTATCCATTTCAAGCCCTTTGTCTTGAATCGGGAGCCTGAGGCTCAGCGGCAGCAGAGGCTCAGGCTCAAATGAGGAACCAGGTTCAGTACTGCTTTCCTGTGTCGCAGACGTCACCCGCACTCATGGATAAGCTCGGCTCTGATAGTAGGACACAGTGGAAAGGGTGCTACTAGAACCGAGTCTGGGCCCTGCTATCAGCTTTCTGTGGGACCCCGGTAAGTGTCTGTACCTTCCTGGGCCACCATCTCCTCCAGAGGGAGGGAGATGGCCTGGCTGACAGCTGGCATCCCCTCTTGCTAAAGTCTACAGGATCCAAAGCTCCCCTTCTTAGCAACCCAGCACTGCTGCATGCTCACGGGAGGAAGCTGGGGATAAGGGAATGGTCCTTTTTGCTGCCACCCTGTCCTGGTCTTTGTGACTTCTGAAGTAACCAGCATTGCCCGTTTGCATCGTGCTCAGCGATTTCTTGGGCAAACCTTCCTGCAGACCTAACCACCATTCACAGTATTTTACCGGTTTGACTCTTGCCTTGTTTGGATTTGGTGTAGCTGCCAAACCACTGGGCAGAGCACCCATGACAGGCAATAATTAGCCTGCTGCTTAGCAGGGGCGCCGTCAAAGCCGAGCCCAGTCCTCAAAGTGACCGCAGAGCCAGAGAACCTGAGCTCCCCAGCAGTGATTTTTCACCCCCTTCCCAGGGGCCGCTGGTAGGAACTGTCCTCGGCACACCTGCTCCCTTCTGCTCCTGGCGGTTCCAGCTCACCAAGTCACTTTTTTTTTTTTTTTTTTTTTAACATCTTTATTGGAGTATAATTGCTTTACAATGGTATGTTAGTTTCAGCTTCACAACAAAATGAATCAGTTATATATATACATATGTTCCCATATCTCTTCCCGCTTGCGTCTCCCTCCCTCCCACCCTCCCTATCCCACCCCTCCAGGCGGTCACAAAGCACCGAGCTGATCTCCCTGTGCTATGCGGCTGCTTCCCACTAGCTATCTACCTTACGTTTGGTAGTGTATATATGTCCATGCCTCTTTATCGCTTTGTCACCGTTTACACTTCCCCCTCCACCAAGTCACTTTTAAAGAGCTTGCTGGTGCTTCTGGATGTGTAGTTTACTTAGGAGAATTCCGGCGCTGCCGATGGTTTCTTTTAAATCAACTCACATGCTGTCACTCCCTCCCTCCCTTGTAGCCCTGAGATGCACTTTTCTTTGCCAGAGTGACTGACAGCTGGTAAAACTGCACTGAGACAAACAGAAAGCAGGTACCAGCTGGCTTGAAAAGGCAAAGCTTGTCTGTCTGTCTAAGGGGACGTGACCTCCAGCTGCGTTGAAGACCCTGCCCATTATTCAGGACTCCATCCCAAACACGCTCTATCTCCGGGACCATGCTAGAGGGAATAGGCAGCCACTGAGAAAGAGAATCCTAAAATATCAAGGTCTAGCCTTCAGAGTTCCCAAGGCAGCTGTCCCGAGCTGGACACTCTTGCCTCTCAGTCGGCCCAGAAGCATGGGCATCCAGCGGGGGCTGGCAGAGAAGATTCCATGTACTCACCAGACATGTTTCACCTTCCTTTGCCTCCTCTCTGGGTTCGTCTGGGAATGGCACAGATGGTGTGGGGAGACTGGCCGCTGGGATCACCTTACCATTTATAGAAGCTTCTCCTACACACCCCAGTGAGAGTCCTAATGAGGTGGGTGAGGCACCCACCTCATTACAGGTCCTTCCTGTAGTACCTGTAAGCGTTTCACTAACCACATACTTGTCACCCAATGGAAGGTCATGCTGCTTGTGCAAGACCAGCTTGGGGAGAAGAGGGGAGGTAAGAAAAAACATGCAGAGTTTGAGTTTATGATTTTTTTTTCAAGATGAGCAACTTCCTGGATCGTAGGGTTTAGGAAATGATGTCATGTTTTTCTCTTGTTTTTTTACGGTACGCGGGCCTCTCACTGTTGTGGCCTCTCCCGTTGCGGAGCACAGGCTCCAGACGTGCAGGCTCAGTGGCCATGGCTCATGGACCCAGCCGCTCCGTGGCATATGGGATCCTCCCGGACCGGGGCACGAACCCGTGTCCTCTGCATCGGCAGGCGGGCTCTCAACCGCTGCGTCACCAGGGAAGCCCGATGTCATGCTTTTCTTGAAGTAGTTTGTCCAGAGCTGATGCTGAGAAGTCCCTTGGGGAGGTCAAAGAAATGTCTCCCCAGAATGCAAGCAGAAAATTGCCTAGTCCTTTCTCACCATCTGCACACGCTGATGGTCTCCACTTGCATGAGGGGCGTGAGATGCTCATCACGGTTCACTGTTCAGGTTGCAGTGTGCCAGAAAGTGCATTTGATTTGGGGTTAGAAGCACTCAGTTCCGATGCTGGCTGGGTCCTGGGCTATCACTAAACCTTGAAACCTTGGAAGCCTCCTCTGACTAGAGTGGAGGCATGCCCACCCTTCTCAACTCGATAAGTGGGGGAATAATCAAATAGGTGATGTGAGTGGGAAGTGCACGGATGTGCACCATAATGGATTAAATCCAGTTGTCACCTGGAATCAAATGTCGGTTTGATTCAGATGTGGGGAGGGGCGGGGGGGGGGGACTGTTCTTTTTAATGAGGCAGTGGGGACAGCCCCTGAACCTGTAGCTGTGGCATGCTTTCATTCTGGCTCTGCCATGTACTCTCCGTAACACTGGAGGGTAAGTCACGGACCATCTCTGAGCCTAGCTTCTATACTGGTTACATAAAGGAGAGGGAGACTCTCATTCTACGTATTTTATTTGCTTGTTTGTTGTTTTAAGGGGATATATTTTTCAAAAGATCCTATTGTGGCTGTTTACAAGTTCCAAGGTTTCCTGTGACAGACAAGGGACTGTTAAAACGTGATAGTGCTCCAAGGGTCCATGACAGAGTGGAGATTCCCAAGGCTTCCCCCAGGCTGGAGGGGGAGGGAAGCACCAGGACATGGTTAGGGCGTTAGGGAGAAGGTGGGAATGCTGGATCTTGAGAGAAGTGAGAGTGAATAGACAGGCGGACGGGGAAAGAGGCATCCGCATTGTGTCTCTGTGCTCTGGGCTCCCACAGCACTTGGTACATCTTAGGGCCTCTCTTACCAAATGCATCTCCCTGCACTGGGGCAATCTGGTTAGGTCTGTCCCCATCACTCACTCTCTGAAGGTCCAGGCTGTGTGTTATCCACATCTTCTCAGAACAGAGCATAGGCTTGTCACATGGCAGGAGCACACATATTTTTGAATGAGTGGATCAAACAATCAGTGTAAAGGTGGAAATAATTACCATCAATGTAGAGCCCACCCTGGGCAGGCACTGTCTAAACGCTTCACATGTATTACCTTTTCTTGTCTTCAGATCAGTCTTATGGCATGGGTACCATTACTTTTGCTATCTTACGGGAGGGAGAAATGGGTTAACACAAGTCTGTGTGACCAGGAGATTCACACCCATATGTGAGCGACTCCAGAGCCCATCTGCTTAACCTGGAGGTTGGCCGCCTAAGTGACGTGGGACCTCAGCCTTTCCCAGGCCTCTGGCGGCTCTGTACCCATGGCCCCGTGGACTGTGGCCACTGTTGGCTCTGGCAGATGACTCGGAAGAGAGCAGAGTGTAGAGAGGTAATGGCGGGGAGAGCTGGCCCCAGCAGCAGCTGGGTGTGTGGCACGCATCCTGGCCCCTGCCGTGGCGCTGGCTGGCACTCTGGGCAAGGCCCTCACTATGCTGAGTCAGTCCTGCCAGAAACCCCGAGAGCTGCGTGATTCCAAGGGGATGAGCGGATGTGAAGGGCTGCACAAGCCCTCAAGCGAGGGATAAAGAAATGGGGGGAGGGGCTGCTTATTACTACTGCTGCTGTTGTTGGCCTGGCAGTCAAGAATTGGACCCTGGGCATCCCTTTCAGTGACCTGGCAGGAAAAACTGACAAGGGAACAGGGAGGCAGTGCTGCCCTTGAAGAATCCTGAAGTCACGCAGACCGGGGTCCAAACTCGGCTGTGCCACCACCTCAACTCTTGGAGCCTCCGTTCCCTCATCAGTAAAGCTGAGATACAAGCCCCACGAGGATCGAAGGAGAGCATGAATACAAGTGC